GAGAGGGACAGGTGAAGGGGACGGTCACTCTGAGGCGAGAGGGACAGGTGAAGGGCCTGTCTTGTGACACGGGTTGGGGGACTGAGCCATCTTCTCCGCTCTACCGGCGTGAGAGAAGCGCCGCCAGGATGCCCTCACCCGTGGTGTGGCCGGTCTGGGCTAAGAGGAGAATTGAGGATTGAGTGGTTCCTACGGGCTGCTCGTGGGGTGCGGCCGCGTGTGGGGGCCCGAGAGTGGTGGGTGCCCCGTCCCTGGTGCTGGGCGGTGCCTCGGTGTCCTCACCTCAGCCCTGCAGCCCCACTGTGCAGAGGACAAACCGAAGCCCCTGCAGGGCCAGCCCGTGCTTGGAGCACTGAGCCAGGAGTCCGGGAGCCAGGGGTCTTCACCACTGAGGCCGGGAGGAGCTTTTCATTTTTCCTGGAATGAGTTACGTGTTTTTAGACACTGAGGAGACCCTGAAGGATGCCGAGTGAATGTGGTGTTTTCCACACACATTCTTCTGCCCGGACATCTTGGGGCCCGGTGTCCTCCTCCCACCTCAGGGAACTGTGGCACAGAGAAGTCGAAAAGTGTGCCGGAGTAGCACAGCCAGGGTCACGCCCTTCGCCCTCGTCCCGAGCCCTGCGCTCGTGCCAGTGTGTCTGTCTGTGTCTGTGCGTCCCCCCGGTGCCGAGCTGTTGTCACTGGCGCACACTGTGGCGTTTTAGTGCGTGCCCCTCCAGGAACAGGTGGTTTTAGTCCCTCTCGGCACTTCCTGTCTTGGTGGCAGCTCGAATCCGAGCAAGGCTGCCACAGGGCAGGTGTCCAGCCCGGCCCGCCGGCGGCTTCTGGTGGAGAAACGCGTCTGACTGAGCTCGTCCCCACAGGAGGCCCGCCCGGGGGGCCGACAAGTCGAACCCGTCCAAGCGGCACCGGGACCGCCTGAACGCCGAGCTGGACCACCTGGCCAGTCTGCTGCCGCTTCCCCCCGACATCATCTCTAAGCTGGACAAGCTTTCCGTCCTGCGCCTCAGCGTCAGTTACCTCAGGGTGAAGAGCTTCTTCCAAGGTAGGATTCTCTCCCGGGTCCACCTGCGTCCACCTGGGTCTCACCTGGGTGTCACCTGGGCCCAGCCGCGCCTGAGGAAGCGGGTGTGGCGGTTTGGTGCGTGCCCGTCTCCCCCACCCTGCGTGAGCTGACTCCCGGGCAGACCTGGCCCCTGCAGGGAGCCGCGCTGTGGGTTTTCTCTGGTGTCGGGTGGGAAGGTGCTGCTGGCTGTCCCCACTGCTCTCAGGGCAGGGCGTCCGCCCGCTTTACTGGGGTGGGCCAGTTCCCGCCTCTGGTGCTGGGCTGGTGAGCGCCGCAGCTCTGGCGGGGGGCGCTGGGGCTGGGGCTGGCCCTGCAGGGCCTCACTGGCCCCCCTGCCCAGGGACTCCAGGGAACGAGGGTCCTGCTTCCGGAGGAGCAGCACCGGGAGTGGTCGGGAGGCTGAGGCAGCCAAGCAGGGGCGCCCCGTGGCCTGGGCTGCCTGGTGCACCAACCCCTGCCGCGACCTCGGCGCCCCCACTGCCCTTGGTCGGGGCCAGGCCCCTCCTCGGTGGCAGCTGCCTTGCCTGGTCCTTCCGCCAGGTCCTGCCTCTGGGGCTGGGCCTCCTGGGGCTCTGGCCTCCCGAGAAGCAGAGGCGTTTTCTGTTCTCTTCCTCCAGCGCGCAGGCGTTTTGTCTGGGTTGTCTGGGGGAGGGATAGGTGGGGCCAGGTGTTCACCCCCAGACCTACGTCCAGCCTGGCCCTGCCCGCCTTTTTTCTGGGGCCCTCCCGCAAGGTCCCTGGAGAGGCAGACCCCCTGTCCTGTGTCCACCAGGGGTTTCATACTCAGAATTTTATCTGAATTCTCCTCACCGGTGTCCACAGTGTCTGGTTCGTGTCCTGTCTGTCCTCAGAAGTGCTGTATTTTCTTTGGTTTCTGGTTATCGGATGCCCTGGGGTTTTGCGGACTCACAGCCGTGAGGCCTTTGTCCTTGGAAGGTGGGAGTGAAGCTGCTCCCTAAGGAGGAGCTGCCGGCCACGTGCCCTGAAGTTGTTCGAATTACACTACTTTTAAAATTAAAATCCAGCCACCTGCTGGGTGGGACCTCCAGCAGTGGGGTCGGATGGGTGTTCTGGGCCAGCCAGGTGGGCAGCTGGCGGGGGTGATGCCACCCACTCTGCATTCTGACTGAGGTGGGGATGCCACACGGGTCCCTTCCTTGCATCCCTTTAGGGAGAGGCCCTCTGTCCCTCTGCGAGCCTCTGCCGTCCTCAGACACGGCGTGCTGTGCGCGGGTCTCCCGTGGACCTTTTCCCTGGGTCCTGGACAGCCGCAGACCCCCCCTGGAATTGAATACAACCAAATGTTAACAGTGCTTATTCTCTGACTGGTGAGGTTACAGCAAGTTGTAGTTTTACTTTCCAGGTTTTCTGATTTTATACTGAAAAAGGATTAACTGTATACTTTTATCTCCAACCCCAGGCCCGGGCCGCTCCGTGCCCGCGCAGCTTGGTGGTCACTCTTAGCTGCAGTGGTGTCGAGACCGGCGGTGTCGGCACGTGTGCGGGGCGATGGGCTTCCCAGGAGTGTCACCCTGAACTTGCCCACGCGTGGGTGCCAGGACAGACTGAGGACAAGGTCCTCCAGCCTTGCTTCTGTGAAGGGCCTTTCACAGATGGAGCGTGTGGGCTCAGCGGTCCCAGCTTCCACGGTGACCAGCAGTGTGCCGAGGGCAGAGGGCGAGGACGCCAGGCCCAGTTTGGGCTGCACGGTTGGGAGGCTTTGTCCCGAGCTAAAGATGTGGTTGTTTCGCCTTCTTCTCCCTGACGTGCCCGTGCAGACCCGACCTCCTGGCTGGGAGCTTGGGAGGGAGGCCAGAGTCCCCTCCTTTCTGGACGGGTCCAGCTGTGCCCGGCCAGGCCTGGGCTTGGCAGTCTCAGAAAGGCTTGAACGCTGACGTTTCCAGCAAGTCTAGACGACCGTCCAAGTGTCCCCTGGATGCGTAGTTCTTAACACACAAGCAGAGCGAGCTTCCGGCCTCACCACCGACTCTAAGGCCGGGTGACGGGCATTGCTGGACCCCCGCAGATGCAGGCGGACCCCGGTGTCTGTCTGGCTCGCTGCGCTGTGTGTGTGAAGGCTCGTGCTCGGGCTGCGGATTAAATGAATCCTAGCGGTCCGCTGGCTTTATGAGAGCGTTGTAACTTCCACAGTTAGGTGAAACCATGAACCTCTTGATCTTTCTATCACTTGTTTTTGTTTTCTAAAATTTGTGACCCCCTTCAAGCTGTACGTTTTAGAGGAAATCCTGAAAACTCTCCTGAATTCATTTCCGCTGTGTAGTTAGAAAAAAGTCAAGCTATAAAAATTGGATCTCAATCTATGCCACTTGACTCAGAAACCGATGGGCTATTATAATTTCATTAAAACTTCCAGGAAAAGTCGCTTTTAGGAAGGACCTGAACTGGAAAGTTCAACCTCAAAGGCTGATAACGGCCTGAAAACTTGCTCGCAGAGTTGAGTGTCGACGTGCGCGGACGTGTAGAAGGCAGTGGGCGTATTTCGTCTTTGTTTGTTGGAGGCCGGCACTTGCCGGGTACAAGACTCTGACTTCCACCCTCGTCTGCAGGTGCCTGTGAAGGCTGGGATTTTCCACTCCTGTTAGTTTTGCTGTTCATAAAATGGGAGATTCAGGGTTAAAGAAACGGGCGGCAAGTGGTGCAGAGACGGCAGCTCCCCGAGGGCCCGCGTCACAGCCTGGGGTGCCGGACCCCAGCAGGGATCCAGGAGGGTCCGAGAAGCCCAGCCTGGCCTGTCACTGAAGCCCGGCTGGTGTTCAGGCCAAGTCCAAGGAAAAGCGCCTGGGAGCGGAGACCCTCCGGGCACTGACCACAAAGGGCCCTGACCGTGTCCACCCACTGCCCCATCGGGACGGTGCGTCGATCTGGCAAACAGACGTGCATTCCTGTTGCTGGCGAGAGGGGCGCAGAGGGGAACCGCCTCAGAAACAGAACGGGGAAGAGGAGGCACAGCTCCGACTCTGCGGAAACCTGGGGTGCTTCCCGGGAGGCGGTGCCGCTCTCTGCTTACCCCATGGTGGTGTCGGGGCTGGGGCTGGTCGTTCCGGTGCGTTCTCCTGTGCAGCCTGCGGGGCCTGGACTCTCACGGGGTGGACGGACAGGTCTGCTTCACCCCAGGGGGGTGGGGCAGGGTGTGTCCTGGGTGTGTCACTCAGGAGCACAGCGCTGGTGGCGCGCCAGATGATTTTGTGAACCCAGGACTGAAGCGCATGCAGGTATTAAGCCACATTTTACCTGTTTTCAGTGTTCACTATAGTATATCCTTTTCCTGATGATCCTTGAACTGAATGTTTGTGTCCCACTGAGCTCGTGTTGAATGTTGAAACCCTGCTCCCCAGCGTGGCTGTATTTGGAGATGGGCCCTAAGGAAGTAATTCAGGTTAAATAAGGTCATAAGGGTGGGGCCCCGACCTGGCAGGACCGAGTCCTTAGAAGAGGAGACATAGAAACGCTCCCTCCCTCTCTCCCAGCACTCACCAAAGACGGTCCGTGAGGACTCAGTGCAGCTGCCGCCTTGGTTACGACGTCCAGCCTCAGAACTGTGAGAAAATGAGCCCGTCTGTGGTGTTTTGTTATAAGCAGTCCAAGCAGATTAGGATTTTGGTGCTGATAAATGAGGGGCTGCGGTAACACATGCCTGAAAGTGTCGCCGCAGCTCTGGAACTGGGTAAAGGGCAGAGGCTGGAGGGGTCCTGAGGTGTGTGTAGGAGCCAGATTGCCCTGCGGGACTGGTCGGTAGAAATACAGAAGCTGAAGGCGATGGTGTCGAGGTCTCAGAAGGCAGAGAGGAGGGCTGCAGAGAAAGCTGCTGTCCTCTCGGCTTACGGGTACCATGGTGAGCAGACGGCGGCAGAGACGTGAACGTCAAAGCTGGGCGTGGTGCGGACTCAGACGTAAGCAGGGAACACGTCAGCAGAACCCAGAGGAAAGGTGATCTCTGTTAGCAAGTGGCAAAGAGCGTGGCTGCGCGTGTCGCAGCATTTTGTGGACAGTGGAGGGTGGGAGATGGAACCGGATACTCGGCTGAGGAGTCTAAGCCGAGTGTTGGAGGTGCAGCCTGCACGTAGAACGTGAGAGGAGGAGAGAAATGGAAGGAACTGTTAAGAGAAAAGGATCCAGAACTTGAAGATTTGGAAAATCCTCAGCCTGTCCGTATTGCAAAACATGAAGGCGTGTTCTGGAGAGAACACCGTGGATGCGGCTGAACCGCCTCGCGACAAAGAGACTAACGGGTGTGAGCCCCGACTCTAATCAGCCACCTCGGCAGAAGCCAGAATCCAGGTGGGATCGCACGGCTGAGTCGCTGCCGTCCGGACCTAAGGGAACAGGCGGGTGACGGAGCTGTCAAACTGCCAACTCGAGTCAGGAGAAAGGGGAAGACCAACCCTGAGGGTGTGAGAGCAGACGGCCTCGCCCTCCAGCCCCAGGGCAGGCTGCTTCCTCCTCCGTTCCGGGGGGTGGGTCCCCGCAGAGCTGGGGCCTGAGGGCGGAGCAGCAGTGGGGAGGGACTCACGGATATGCCTTGCGAGGTGTCGGGCTTGCCTGGGACTCACCACCCTTTCTTCCTTCCTTCCGATTTCTCCCTTTGCGACGGGAACTGCGCCAGTGCGCCATGGATTTTGGAAGCACGTCACTCGTCTGGTTTCCCAGACTCGCAGCCGGGGAGCAGCTCCGCCTCAGGACACACTGCACCTCGGGTCTGCTGTGTTTCGATTTAGATGTTATTTAAATGAAACTTAGGCTTTAGACTTCACAGTTGATGCTGGAATGAGTTAAGACTTCGGGGGCTGTTGGGACGGAATAAATGTATTTTGCATGTGAGGCTGTGAATTTTGGGGGGGCCAGGGGTGGAATGTTATGGACTGGATGTTTGTGTCCCCCCAGATTCATATCTGATCCCTAATTCGGCTGTGTTTGGAGAAGGGGCTCTGAGGCAGCTACTAAGGTTACTGAGGGCAGAG